CCCCAACTCAAACAAAATTATTTTTTCATATTTAAAAAATAAAAAATGTGACTTCACAAGCATCTGTGGAAGAGAAGTTAGGCTCCTCTCCTCCGTTGCACGCAGAAGACGCAAGTTCGATTCTCGAGAGAAGAATATCGCCTTATTGTAATAATGTATCTCCCTTAGCCCGCGAAGGCCCTGATAGGTCAAGGCCGTCGGCCTCCTAAATTATCTACAATTGTGTTGTGGGGAATATAAAACTTTTACAACTTATCTTCACCGATACTCTAGATTTATCGCCTGAAGAAAACTGAAGCCTGAACTGAAAGCTCTGGTCAGGGGAAAATATATGATCTGCCTCCTGACGGTGGCATCCAATTTATTAACTCTTTCCTTGCATCGTTACGTTTAAAAATTGCTGTTAGCAATATTATGACATAAAAAGAGTTAACCATTATTATTAGTACTAGCTAGTAAGCCTACTGCTGTCTGTTCATATGTGTTTGGACACCTCATGAAATATGCCAAAGCATATTAGATTCTTTACTGTATAATTAATTCCAGGCCTACTCAAAATGTATGCATAATAGAGGGTTGATGTATTTTATCGCGGCATGCTCATTAATTGACAGTTTGCTGAACTTTCCTTCTCAACACGGTTGGGGGGCTGGTTTCATACAAACCTGCCAAACCTGCATCAAAAGATGATTTTTTTATCTAACAGAATACACATGCGAAAATAAGAGTAATACCGTCATTTTAGGGCACGCTGACCTTGGTGACCTATTTACCTTTTACTTTTATTGCGAACTGCCTGTTAGGTATGCTTTTGACACCTTTGGTGATAGCGAATTCCGAGAAGGGTGAGGTGAGCAACATTATCCTTTTCAGTCTTTGCCCATGATATGATGAATAATAAACTGTTGTATTGTAAGTCACCGGCATTGTGGTACCGGTAGCATAATAATAGTAATAGATCTTTAACGTATTAAGTATTAAAAACTATATTGCCTTGATTTTTTATATTTTTTTGTGTGTGTTTTTTTTTTACAAGTGAAAACTATCATATAGAGCTAACAGGTCTTTACAAAAATATTGATCTGCTAAGACAAATTGATACAAGTCACTGTGCTGGAGAGTTTATGTTCCATAGTTGAGGAGATATTTGACAATAAGTCGCCCCACAAATTTTTAACCGCACTGTAGTACACAACTTATTATAGACAGACATAATACAAATCGATATCGCAACAAAAAAAGAGAACTGTTTTGGTCAGGCTATCTGATGCTCATAACTGTAATGACATGTTACATCAAATATCACAAAATCGGATAGGAATTTAATTTTTATTTTTTGAAGGCTTGATACTGGCGTAAAAAGTATTAGAGATGCCAACTTGAAACAGATGATGTTGTTCAAATTTTGTCACTTGTAGAGATTTCCTGTCATTATATAGTATGCACATCAAAATCCCAAAGTGACCATCTAACATCTAAATTTCTTACAAGATTTTGCTGCTGTAATTGCACATAATTATGAAAATAACACCAATTACCTACGTTTTCATGGCACTGAAACTGAAATTAGGTAAATTTTAATTTTTGACCTGTTTGACATGTTTAGGGGTGCCAGGTCCTGGCAAAAACTCAGAGGTTCTTGAGTCTTACAGACATGGGAAATTTCGTGTATATATATAGGCTATCGATAGATTTCTAGAACTATCAGTTTCAGCTTTTCAAAATCTACTCTGTCCTTTACTGCATACTGTACACATCAAACCGTTATTCTCACGATCTTGAAAAACAAATTGCTTATTGTTTCTGAAGATCACAATCGAACTCAGATGAATTGTGCCTCGATGGTAGCTTTTGCCCCTAGATGGAGAAAAATCTGGCTGGCCCCGACTCAGTTTGCCTGAATTTAATTGGCAGTGTGCACTGGGTATTAAAAGGCATTCTTCTAGATGTGCACATTTTATTCACTTTATAAAAGCTGGTTCCAGGTGTAATACTTTAATAAGACAAAGGTAGTGATTAGGGTAGGGATAGGGCTAGGTTAACTCTTACCTAACCCTAACCCTACCCTCTATCTATTACTCTAACCGAAATCCTGGATGTCATGAGAACTACCTTTGTAGCTAACAAGAGAAGGATTTATAACAGCAACCCAAAATATAGTGGTGGCCTCTTGATATTCATAGTTTGGTCAAGTGAGGGAAATTCTCTTGACTTTTGCCATCTAAATTACCAGTATGTTTCACTTCATTCAGGCTTTTTTCATGGATATATTTGAAATTTCAGATGGTATCAGCTCAAAATATAGACAAAGCCCATATATTATACTTAGAGTAGCATTTTTTTTCTATCGTTTTCTACACCCCAGGGCGGTGATACTGACTGTAGTGTCTTTAGGTAGTAAAATTGTAAATGATTTGACTGCTGCTTTTTCTTTCCTAATCCTTACTATTGTCATTTTCCTCTACTTCTTTTGTATGTTTGTTACTCTCTTGTGACCTGCTATTTCTGGGGTGCCTTGATAGTCGAAGCAGACCTTGTGCTGTTGAAGCTAGAGAGGTGAGCAGTCTAAGTCTGATTCCCTGTAAAGACTTCTCTGTTGACACCCACCCCTTGGCACTCATATGACCTTATGCAGTTGCAAGCGCCGTAAAACCCTGCACTATAAAAGAAATATATATTTTGTTCTGTGAACTTTGCTTTAACCTGTTTAAGTGAGAGGCTGCCTCAGTGTTCAGATGTCAATGTATGAAAAACGCCAGGAGTTGGAAAACAACAGGGTTAAAAAGTGTTGCGTTTTAGGCTAGCTTCTGTATGCCAACTGAACTTTTTACCCGTATACTTGTGGTTTCGGATAGTCTCTCCTTCAGCTCAAAATAATAAAGACGAAACCGTCAATATATAAACTTTTGTCTTTTAGTAGCAGTTATGTTTTTCTGTTCTGTGAACTTTGCATTAACCTGTTTAAGAAAAGTGACGTTTGATTGGTCTCTGTACGTTGCAGGAGCACTGTCCTTGAGCATGGCACAACAATCAGGACCGCCTGCCTACAACATGGCCCAGAACTACCCTGCAAGCTATGATCAGACCCAGGATCCTTACAAGAATGGTAAGGCATTTTTGCACCATTTACATCTTGTAAAGTTACCTGGCGGTCCTTTGAATCTTGGTCTTTCAAGGAGCCCCCTTCCAGGATCGATGTTGTCTTCTCTTTGTCCTGTGCTCGACTTATTCTCACTCAGTGTCCAGCAGACGTCATAGGCGTATTTCCCGCTTCTTAATGTGACGTCTTCCAAGGGCACACTACTCCCTTAATTATACTGTCCCATTATAATAAAAAGAGTCATGTCCCCTGACATCACAACATTTCAGTGATTTCAGACTCTTTTTGGAGTGTGTGTGTGTGTTATAGGGGGAATGAGTAAGCTAGGGCAAAGTCGGCCAATAAGAAAGTCGGAACGTCGACTCAATGTTTTCGTTAAACTCTAAAAGTCGACTGTGACTGTGACTTTGACCATGACTCTACATAGAGTGAAGCTACAACTTCCTATGCTCTTATAGCCCACAGGGTCATAGGTTTTGGGCTGACTAGTTCTTTTTTTAGCTCTTCGACTTCTGGCTTCGGAAAACAAGCGTTGTGGGGTTACTGTTTGCCTTTAAAAGTTTGTTTCCGCGCAAAATTTATTTAATCTTACTTCGTTTTAAAAATCAGATTTGAGCTTAAAAATAATTCATATAACCTACATATTTAAGAGTAATGAACTATTTTGATCTCATAATGATTTACATGTCTTTTTGCTAAACCAAGTCTGATCTCTTGGAATTTGAACGAATGCTATAATATTACAGTGAAACCAACAAAATAATGGAAGACATCCAAGATAGCAATCATTAGTTTTACAATAATTGATCCAGTGACGGTGACTGCGACTGTCGCGCCAGCACTGCAATGCGATGCTGCAGGCCAGCCAGCCTCGCCTCGCACACACACATGCACACACACACGCGAGCGCACGCACACACACACACACTCACACACATACACACACACACACACACACACACACACACACACACACACACACACACACACACACACACACACACTAGGGCCTAGGTCTTGATCAAAACTTTTTTTTCTTGGCTTGCTCTAACTTCGCCGCACCCACCACTAACGTTGACGACTCCCCGTTGAAGGGCAGGGGAGGCTGGTCTTGATCAAGACTAGGCTAGGTAACTGAGAGTCGAGAGTCACAAGCGACTGGTAGATGAGGGTCTCAGCGTCGATCTTGGGCTCACAGTCGACAAGTAGACTAGTAAAGTCGATTTGGCCCTGGCCTAGGCATGAGGTGGTATCGCTAGTATGATCTCTTTGCTGTCCCTATTGTGTTTTAATGGGTGTGTCTGTCTTGCTCTGGTGACTTCAATGGCCTTGTGGTTAGTCTACTGGAACCGTAAGCGTGAGATTATATGAGTTCGGGGGTTCGTGCGTCAACTCAGTTTGATGTTGTCAGTTGTGTCCTTGGTAAAGACACTTTACACGAACCATCGAATGTCCCGTTTGGCTTGGCCCTTTTGGAAATGAACGTTAAACTCAGATTTCCCGCCTCTTATCCTAACAGTGCTGATAGGGACGCTAAACCTATACCATTTCACCATTTTTTTCTATCTTGCTTTGATCCAGCTGTATTTGAGAGTTGCAACATGTCTATGTGTTCGCTTTACCTCAAGCAAACAAAGTATATTTATGTGTATGGGTCATCTGAGGGTGACACTAATTGTTAAGTCATTGTTCGAGATAAGTAATCCATACTGTATTTATCTTTTGTTTGAAGAAACTGAGAATGTGTTTTTATGCAACACTATATACTATTTATGTGTGTATGTCTGTGCGTCGTGCGTGCATGTGTACCTACCATCTGATCAACACATCACATTCTCTTTCTTCCCCCCTTTCTTTCTCTCCCTCTCCCCTCTCTCTCTCTCTGTGTCTCTCTCTCTCTCTCTCTCTATCTCTCTCTCCCTCCCCCTCTCTCTCTCTCTCTTCCTCTCTCTCTCTCTCATGGTATTGCTCTTTTTCTTTCCCTCTCACTAATACACTCTCTGACTTCCTTACTACTTGAGTCACTTGCCCACTTTCGGCCTCAAGAGAAACTTCCTCTATTTTCACGACACTATCACATTGCACAAGTTTTGTTTTTAGCCGCAGCTAGAACATGTGAACGTACTAAGAGTTGTAAGTGGAGTGAAGCCTTTGCTGTCATTTTATGGCAAAAATGATGCAAAAATGAGTTGTTGGTTGTTGGTTTTTTTTGTTCATGTCTGACAAACTTTTCCTCAAATGTCAGTTACCTTCTAATTTTATAATTGGTAAGGATTTTTGCTTGTACACATTTTACTCACTCGCACATTCACACAAGACACACTCAGAGTGACCAGGACTATGATTGAATGCTAACGATTTTTAATTAACTGTAAGGTTTCATTGTAACAAGAAATAAATTCGTAATATTGACTAAAATTAGAGTTGTGTCCCCTTGGAGGGGGGGGACGGGTGGTGGTGGTTTGGCCAATCAAAAATAAAATTAGGTTTCCAAACCAAAAGGGGTCAATTCCGACTGTAATACACAAAGAAAATAAACTGATTTGTTATTTTTCAGAGCCATCCCAGGGTTCACATTACAGACTTTAGATTTTTTCCCCTCGTGAAAATATTACAAGCTTCCTGAATCACTTCCTTTTCATAAAATGCTTTGTGCTTGAGTAAGTCGACTGCTTCTGACAGAGACAAAAAGTGACTGCTGAGTATATGTACGTTGGTGTGTTGTCGAATCATTGAGTCACCTTTGGATAGAGAAGGGGGAAAATGATACTTGCCAGATGCACGCCATCTATGTTTTGAAGAGTATGCTGCAAACCTCCTAAACAAAAATTTAAAGAGTAAGGTTCACATACTGCCCATAAGCCTACTTAAAGAGGGTAATCTGCAGTTTTAATGCGTAATATACTATACGCACCGCGCACATCTGTGAGTAATGGGGAGCCCTGAGATAGCATGGAACAAACTTTTGGAAGCTCATACACGAGTATGATTAACCTTTAATGAGAATCATACCCACATCAATATATCTTCTTCTGACCGATCGTCTAGTACCATTTCACTTTCATCTATTGAACTGTCGCTCAAAATATTTGAGTCTTTTCTTGCTTTCCTTTTCTTTCCTTTCCCTTTACAAGCTTTCCTCATCTCCATCTCAATCCTCTTTCTTCTTTTTTTTAAAGTCTGTCTTCCTTCCGTTCTTTCAACTCCTCTTTCTGTATTTTTAACTTCTCTCTTTTTCTCTCTCTCTCTGTCCTTTTATACGCTTCTTTTCTTCACGTTTCTGTGCTTTCTCGATCTTTTTTTTTCTCCCTTTCCACTTTCTTTTCCATTCTTCTTTCTTTTTCCTCTTTTTGCTATGATTCTTTTTCTGAGACCAGTTTGGTTGTTTTAGAGGTATTTTTATTTGTCATCTGTGAAAATATTACAAAATATAAGGTTGAGGCAGAGAACTAGCTCAGTTTGTCTACTTGTTTGAGTATCGAGGCTACGCTTTTTAGGGGTTTTGGCTAAGCTAACATAGCCTTAAAATTGTTATGGTTCTATTTTTAGTAACATGTAAACAATAATAACATTGTTTCAACCATTATTACCATTGTACGTGTACTGCCTGTGATGTTTAGGGTGGTTTGTGGGTGCTCTGGTGTGGTTTCCTCCTTCTTTCCTATCAAACATCTGTCATCTTTATCTCTCCTACTTTTTTTTAATGTATGTTACTCTTTAGTAACCCCTCTAATCCTCAGCACTTATATGTCCTATTTTGTGTTGCAAGTGCCGTAATACTCTTACTAAAACTGAACCCTATGATGTTTAACTACTATCAGCGGCATGCAGGCCATAACAAAAAAACTTACTGTCCTTAGTGCGGCCAGTCTGGCCGCTTCTGGCCCAACACGAAATGTAACATGCAGCCACCCCCATTTCTCTTCAGTTTGCCTGAAAACTAACTACCACATTCATTACCAAGTATTTTAAAACATATCTATACCACCAAAATACATGTAAACATATATTTATATTTTCAAGAAAGAAAATGAAAAGTTCAACCTACCTGAAATTTTCGAAAGATGATGTTTCCTGACATATCAACTTTGACCTTTTGTGACTGCTTGCTGTTACCCGAGAGAGTCGACTGAATGCGACACGTGTTGTTGAACCCAGGGAAACTATTCTGCTAATTTCGAATGAATAAAGCCAGTGGGTGTGCAGTTATGTTAATCGGCCGCAACTTTGGCCTGGCTGCGAGGTAGGCAAGTGACTCGTAACCTATGTCCTCCAGCTTCTCATTAACTGAAACCAACTTGCTGTTGTCAGTTGTCAGCTTCTCCTCATCAACAACAGCTTCTACATTTATAACTACTTAAGCCAACTCGGAATTGTTAGGTTGTCAAACTTTCCTCATGAGCAACTACTACATTTGTAGCTACTTAAGCCAACTTGGAATTATCAGATTGTCAAACTTTTTTCATCAACAACAACAACCACAGCAGCAACAAGTATTTTGTTTGGATAATATTGGCTCATGAGTGTGTTTATCTGTGATGCCCACAGCTGCTGCTGGTGCATATGGACCACCACCGCCTCAATCAGGGTTTGCCCCACTCCCTCAATCAGGGTATGCCCCACCGCCTCAATCAGGGTATGCCCCGCCCCCTCAGCCTGGATATGCCCCGTCCCATCAGTATGGGGGTTACGGGCGGGTGAGCCCACAAGCATATGGCAGCCCTGGCACAGGATACAGTAACCCGACGGCGTACGATGCCCGTGGCAGTGACAATTCCGAGCCCGCTGTGCCCAAGGCTACCGATGACAGCGGCATGTTCAGTGCGGCGTTCTCCGACAAGGCCATTCGCAGAGGCTTCATTAAGAAAGTAAGTGAGGAGGATGGTGGCCGGTTGCTTCCTGTAACAAGGGGGTAGCCTGATTGTTGTTTTCTTTTTTAGCCAATATTTGAGGAAATCCTTTGACAGTTGTATGGTTTGCTTCATTTATTTTTTTGGTCTTGTATCTTTATTTGGTAATCTGTATGATAAATGTGGTATAATATTAATAATAGTGATAGTTTGTCAATGTCTGATGATGACCCAAGTGAAATAGATGGATTAAAAGTTTTGATGACTTGTGGCTTCTGCTGTGACCAATGAGACCATTTCTGGCAAAGAAAAGTTTGACATATTTTGACTGTTGAAAAGCTCTACTTCCACTTGTGGATGTGTGCGGCTTGCAGGCTTCTCTCTTGGTTTCGCTATATTGTAAGTAAAATGTTTTGATGTGGTAGATTTAGTTATTGTTAGATTGTTCAGAATATCAAAAAGAGACATCTCTTGGAAGTAGGCCTAAAAGATTTTTTGTTTCCAAGTACCCTTGATGATTTACACTAATGATGATGGTGCTGAGTAAATATTGAGGATGACAATGCGGCTTTTTCTGGATGTTAGTTTGGTTCTTCATTTGGTGCCTATGCTAGATTCCCTCAGGCTGTCTGAGAGGTTGGACACAAACCCTCATTCCCAACGTCTTTCATAGATTGACCAAAGTTTGGAGATAACATAAGAATCCTGAAAGTTCTGCCGAAAAATCAAGGGGGGCTACTTTTAAGTGATGACTGCGTTAATGTTATATTGTTTTCGTAATCCTGCTTTACCATCAGACTTCCAAGGCAAAGCAAAGAAAAGAGGAAGTTTGGATGATAGGTGCCTTGGCTTTTGTCAGTCCTACTGTATAATTTTTCTGGTGTTGTTTCAGTCTTGTCTGTTTTGTCTTCCAGAAATAGGTGACCACTTTCTTGTCCCTGCGCTTTGCTTTCTCACAAATCGAGTGAAAGATACAAAAGCTCTTCATGGGCGCTCTAGTGCCGTCTGCTCTTTCTTTCCTACCAAACGTCTATTATTATTATCTCTCTAGTTCTTTTTTTTGGAATGTTACTGTCTATTGAGGCCTTTAATCTTTGGGACTTACATAACATATGTATGCTGCACATATGCATTAAAACTCTAAGTGCTCATCTGTTTCCAGGATCTTCTTGCAAAGTTTACTAATGTTGTTAGAGTACTTTTTTTTTATCTGTCTGTGTTTTAAAAGTTATTATTATCTGCGATTTGCTAATTATACACAATTGTCTTTTGTCTTGTTGACAGTATGTCAGTGATTTTTACTAGCAGTATGTATGTGTTTTTTGTATGATCTATTTGTGTTGTGGCAATTTGTGCCTGTGTTTTACTGACAATATTATGTCTGTGTTTTACTGACAATATTATGTCTATGTTTTGCTGACAATATGTCTGTGTTTTGCTGACAATATGTCTGTGTTTTACTGACAATATTATTATGTCTGTGTTTTGCTGACAATAATATGTCTGTGTTTTGCTGACAATATTTCTGTGTTTTACTGACAATATTATGTCTGTGTTTTGCTGACATTATGTCTGTACTTTTCTGCAGGTTTACTTGATCCTTTTCTCCCAGCTGCTGGTCACCTTTGGCATTATCTGCCTCTTCATTTTCGTGTAAGTAAACACCTGAGAACGAATGGTTAATAAACCTGGGGGGGCGGGGGGATAATTTATCCCAAAGGGCACCACCAGAAGGTTAAAACATTCCATGATAACACATATCCGCACATCGTCAATGTCGTAAGCCTGTTTGTGTACTTTTATGCTGACACAAAAAATTAGTTTCTGTTTTGTTGTTCGTATGAGGAATCATAAAAAGCAACAACAAAAATTGTAAGTCTTGACCATAGCATTAAATTGCATTTTGGTAATATTGAAGATTCATCTTTGGTAGAACTTTGGGAGGGTGTAAAAATAAAAAATACTCAAAATTTGGACTTGCATCGATTGCTTGCGACAGCAATGACATGCACACGTATGGTAGTATGTTCTTTGATGTATGTCCGCTTTGTTTCCTTCGTTTTTTTGCTCTACACACAGATAAGAGCCAAATGTTCCACCTTTGAAAAAAGACTTACCCCCCGGGGAAGTGCCACTGACTGTAGTGTCTTTAGGCCATTCCCAAAGGGGGGATATTTCTCGTTCAAGCACAGTAGAATTGTAAATGGGCTGATTCATGTCACGCTCATAACTGTGCCTGATCTACAACAGGGAACTGCTGCTTTTTTTCCCCTTATCCTTACTATTGTCATTTACCTCTACTTCTTTTGTATGTTTGTCACACTCTTGTGACCTGCTATTTCCGGGGTGCCTTGATAGTTGAAGCAGACCTTGCACTGTTGAAGCTAGAGAGGTGAGCAGAGTAAGTCTGATTTCCTGTAAAGACTTCTCTGTTGACACCCACCCCTTGGCGCTCATATGACCTTATGCAGTTGCGAGCGCCGTAAAACCCTTTATTATATATATAAAAAAGACTTGTTTGTGTCTTCGTGGGAGTCTGTCCTCCAGACTCAAAGATAGGAAAAGAAGTGTCTTTCTTCAATGTGTTGTTTTTTTTCAGAGAACCAGTGAAGAACTGGGTACAGAATGATGGCTTGTGGTTCTACATTTGTGCTTAGTAAGTATCACAGTTAAGTTTTGTTTACCTTTATAGCCATAAGCAGTAAAAGAACATTGGCTGAGATCTGTAGCAATGTATGACTTTATCTGTTGCTTGCACTGTATGCTTCCCAGGAAGCCAAGAATGGTTCCGAGTTCCGAGTGTTCAAGCTTCTGCTTGGGTAATAATAGGATCGTAAAGTACACAGAGCTTGTTGTTGATTGGGGATGTGCGCTATACAAATGTAATATATTATTATTATTATTATTATTATTATTATTATTATTATTACTTTTCTTGTTGTTGTTATGTAGTTATTATTATTTTCCTTTTATTATTATTATTGTATTACCATTATTATTACTACTACTATTGTTATTATTATTATTATTGTTATTATTATTTTTATATACTGACAGTAAAATTATACAGGGGTTTGTGAGGAAGTGTTATTATATTCGTATCTATTTTGATGATAAGACTTACTAGTAATGAACCTGTATGCTTTTACATTTTTAAGAGTCTTTTTACCAAATTTAAAAAAAGCACCTCATCATACTGGGTGGTAACGTCGATTCAAAGCACCATGTCTCAGTGACGTAAAGTAAAAGAAAAGTTGCTCCTTGTGTGTTTTTTTAAACTGGTTGTAATATGTGTGTCACAATAACTTGTTGTAATATGTGTCACAATAACTGGTTGTAATATGTGTCACAATAACATGTAATATGTGTCACAATAACTTTAATATGTGTCACAATAACATGTATTATGTGTCACACTAACTTGTTGTATTATGTGTCACACTAACTTGTTGTAATATGTGTCACAATAACATGTAATATGTGTCACAATAACATGTAATATGTGTCACAATAACTTGTTGTAGTATGTGTCACAATAGCTTGTTGTAATATGTGTCACAGTAACTTGTTGTAATATGTGTCACAGTAACTTGTTGTAATATGTGTCACTTGTAATATGTGTCACAATAGCTTGATGTAATGTGCGTGTTAGTACATGTAACTTGATGTAATGCATCTTAAGCCTATTCCCGTGTATTTACGGGATGTATCAGCAGCCCTGTGGCCTAATCCTGTATATTTACGGGATGCGCTTTAGCGACTGATATCTCCAGTGCTTTTCAGTTACAAGCTATGGGAAACAGCCAACCCACGGTTGACCCACTTGTTTCTTTTCGTAAAAAATTTGATGAAGTTATATGTTATACTTTTTGAGCTGTAACAGATAGTCAGTCTCCCGTACAGTTTGGAAGAGGAGGAGGAACGGAGGGATCAGAGAACAAACACAAGGGCAGGAAAGCCCGGCCCTTTCTACCAGCTATTGTGATTGGCAACACACGATCTTCAAATAGCAATGTAAAAGAACTGTCAACATACTGTCGCCATTTTAATGAATACCATGATGTTTCGTTTCTTGTGTTCACCGAGACATGAATCGAATCCACGATAGCCGATTCAGCAGCACACATCGACGATTTTCAAATTTTTGCTTCAACCGAACTTCTGCTGCCGGAAAGACCAAAGGTGGCGGCGTGTGCCTCTGCTCTATATAAACCACTGCTGGGCACACCATAGCAACATCATGCTAAAGGAAGCACTATGTACCCCAAACATTGAACACTGAACTGTCAACGTGAGGCCTTTCTACCTGCCCAGGGAGTTCACTGGTGTCCCCATCAACATGGTCTATATCCCTCCCCAAGCCATGGAGAACGACACTATCAATATCCTTGGGTGTCGCTTTCGCTACACGGCGCACCGGCGGTGGAATTTTAGTTGCCGCGGGGGGGTTCCCCCCCGGGCGCCTTATAATGTCGGGGTCATAGGGGTCAGCTCCCTGTCGCCGCTCTGTCTGGGCCGACTTAATTTTTGGTACTTTTCAACGTACAATTTAAGATGTATCCTTGTATTTATGGTAATTCTCATTTAGTGCACCCAAAGCATGCATTTCTGCTCTTGAGACTCAAAAAAGAACGGACGTTGTAACTTGTCTGGTTAATTCGTTAAACACGCTGGAGTCGGCAATGCTAAATTGTAATTTTTTTTGGACTCTTATTGCTTCTGTCCACAGCGCCACTTTCCTTGTGCTCTACATCGCCCTCGTCTGCTGTCCATCTGTCAGGTGAGAGTGCGTGTGTTTGTGTGCACAGGCACGTTAGGTGTAGAGATGGGTGATATAAATCCAAAGATGGAAAAAGTTTTTGTTGTTTTCCCGGCTGGTAGTCGAAATTGTTGGGGGGTTGGGGGTTGGTTTTTTTCTTGATGGCGGATAACAGGAGATAAACAGATGATGGATATAGTTTTGTTCTTTTCCAATGATAATCAAACTTGTTGTCATCATGGCAGTAAAGATACTTTTTTAAAGTCAAAATAAATTGAGATCTACGAATTTTGTGATACTGAGTTTATTATTTTGCAAACTGGTACTATCTGACTTAATTTTTTTTAATCCTCTTTTCTTGTTAGAATTAATATAACAAAATATTTTGTGTTGTCCGTGTAATGCATTCTATAGACATGACTATGAATGAGCGTAGCTATTAGACTCCCAGTACTTTTAGCAACCACACAAGACAAATGTTACGGTCAATTTTGTTTTTTTGTTGTTTTTTTACAGAAAGAAGTATCCTGGTAATTTCATCTGTCTGGGAATTTTTGTAAGTGATGTTTATGTCTGTTGTTCGATTTCTGTCAAAAATCAGTAAAAAGACTAAGGTCATAACCACATACAAGTAGATATCACTAGAATGGCATCCATTATGCATCACCTACTAAGTCACAGTCTTTATAGCAGATACATTTGAGGGTGGTTGGCAGGTACTTTGGTGTGGTTTGCTCCTTCTTTCCCATCAAACATCTATCAACCCTGTCTCTCCTCCTCTTTTGTGTTTGTTATTCTCTCGTAACACCTCTAGTCTTCGAGGTGATGTTGGTAGCCTAGTGGTTAGGCTACTGGACCCATAATCTTGAGCCGGCAGGTTTGGGAGTTCAAGCCTCAGCTTGGTCCAGCATTGTGTCCTTGGGAAAAGCACTTAACACAAATTTCCCATTTGGCCGAGTCCTTTCGGAGATGGACGCTAAACTCAGAGGTTCCACCCCTTAAACAATCTAAAAGTTCTGCTAGGGCATTAAAACATTACCATCTCACCATTTTCTTTTATAAAATAATATCCTTATTGTGTTGCAAGTGCCAAAAAACGCTTACTTAAACATAAAAATATAGCAGACATGAAGATATTTAGTTACAGATCTGCCAAGTACTTGGACAAAATAGGAACTGTCCAATATTTTTGGGCGCAGATTCTTAATTTATCCTTAATTTATCAAACAAAATCTCAGAACCCAGATCAAGTTTGTTTAAAATCTGACTTATTTTTTCTTGAGTTCCGTTTTTGTCAGGTTGTGTGCAACATATTGTAAATAACGTGAAAGTATGTATTTTTGTCTGCAGTATCTGTGTGACTTATCATAATTTATGTGAAAACATACATTTTTTGGTGGGTTTATTGGTATGTATTTACTGTACATGTTTATTTTCCTCCGTCAGTTTGTTATGTAATGTTAGTCTACAGGGGTTCAGGTAACTTTGATCATTTTTCTTAAATTCCTACTTTTGGGGGAAGTATTAATTGGAGGAAAACTCCTATTTTTGGTTCTGGGGTGGTTGGCAGGTTTGAAATTACAGTCAAACCTGTGTAAGACGGAATCGCAAGGGAGCGGGGAAAAAATTGCGTCTTAGACAGGGGAATTTAAGGGGAGGGGGAGATGGGGGGGGGGGGGTTCATAGGCCCAGCCGTTGGGATCAAGAATCGCAAGTCCAATCGGTAAGCAGTGGTCAAAACGTCACACCTTTCAGCTGCTATCCTGTCTGATAATGACATGCGTCAGTCTTACGTATCCAATCACCACCAGTGCTTGCCTTTCATAGAACCACTGTTTGACCTATTAAAAACAGAAACGTTTGAACATCTCCTTTGTTTCCACCCTTAGTCCCGCCCACAATGCCACCCCTCACTGCCATCATTGTAACCACCATTCGAGGAACTCTTTTCTCGGCTGGCGTACGATCAGGGCCCAGGCATTGGTCAATCTAATTTCACACCTCTGGCTTCTGGCTACGCAGGAAAGTTTTCGTAGTGGCTCGCTACTCGAGCACTCTCGCGGGCAGTCGTGAAATGCCACACCCACACTACACTGACCATCTGCATCGCTCAGGGCTCACATGATGGGGTAACGTCTACCCCCAAATAGTACCCCTACTTCCTTTCCTCGCCTTGCGGCATGGCCATAGCGAAAGAAACTTAAAACAAGCTGTAACCTCCTTGCCATGGTGTTAAGGTTAGAGCCGGCGGAACCAAACTTGCGAGTTTTGTTTCAAATCAGAGCTGAGCGGACAAAGCGTTTTCCGTCTTAGACAGGTGAAATCCTCGATAGGGAGCGGATTTTTCTTTCCGTTTCCGCGTTGGACAGGTTTCCGTTTTATACAGGTAATTAAAGAGAGATATATCAAGGGGGGAGCGGGGAGATTCCATTAAGACAGGTTTCCGTTTTATACAGGTTTCCATTAAGGCAGGTTCGATGGAACATTACTCATTTTTTTGTTCATAAAATTCTGTTGACATCCAGTTAATGGTAAAGCTGTTAGCGCATAAGAAAATTGTATGGTTGTTCTTGACAAAGTTCTTTTTTAAATTTGTAAATACTTGTTATTTATGTGCTTATCGCACTTTTCCTTTTGTTGAAACATTTCATTCTTGCATGAGGGTATCTGTTGTGGCCCAAACCGTAATTTATCAAACAGAATTTTACGTCATTGTTTTGAAGGGATGGCCATTGCATGTTAGACTATCAGCACTATGTACATGTATGTGATGAGACCAGTTGGTCAGGAATGAATTCTCAAAATCCCCAGCATGTGTTACCAATCTAATGTTGTAATGTTGTTAGTATCAATTCAGCCTCCAGTATATAGTTTATATTAATTTAGGATTTTTCTGCTCAGAAAGCATGGTTGTTTGTTCATGGTGGCCTCAAAGTAGCATTATGGCTAAGTATTTCCTGAACATATCCTTTCTGCTTCTTTGTAGTTTATGGCAAGGGTGTACAGCAGTATACTGTGAGACAGATGGCTGTCTTTGGTGTAATTTGAAGTGGCACGTGAAGAAAAGGTTGACAAAGATCCGGGTTATTTTATCTGATTTCCCTCCCCCCCCCCCCCTCCCCCCCCAAATCTTACAGACACTGGCGTTCTCCTACCTGACAGCCACCATCAGCAGGTAAGATTGGGGGCTGATATGTATGTCCACATATATTATATTGTGCCTTTCGTGGTGGTGGTGGTGGGGGGCTGTCCTTGAGGATGTTTGATGGATGTTGGGGTATGATCCAACCCTTTTACTTTTTTAAAATCAATGTTACTGTACTCATTGATTGTAAATGTTTTTTGCCCTCACAGACACTCTCTAGATTGGTTAGAAACTGAGGTACATAAGTAAAATCACTTCCCAGTGCAGGATTCAGACTCACATGTCCGTGTGAGGCGATGTAAATCTAGGAGCTGTCCCCTAAGTGCTGAGCAGCTTGGGGCTCTAATAGTTCAGGTATAGATCAAGTGCTCAGTGCAAGACTCCGTCTTATGTCACTTTTCAAAATGGCATCTGGCACTAAACAATCGAAATGTTTGTGTCGGTGAAACCTGTGAGGAACCCCGTACCTGGTTAAAAATTGTGTGCTTGACGGGACACCTGACGTACTTCCTGTGGTGGTGACTAGCACTAGCAGCATTTTAAAAGGTGAAGAAGTAAAATGCATACCACATTTGTGGGTGGTTGGCATGTGCTCTGGTTTGGTGTGCTACTTCTTTCCTATCAAACATCTGTCGTTTTTTTCTCTCCTCCTTCTTTTTTGTATTTGTTACTCTCTTGTAACACTTCTAATGTTCAGCACTTACTTACATGACCTTATTCTGTTGCAAGTGCCGTAAAACGGTTACTAAAACTAAAATACCACTCTATTGAGAAGTTATGATTTACAATAAGAGTGTACTCTAGTAGTTAGGCTACCGGACTCATAATCATGAGATTGCAGGTTCAAGGATTCGAGCCTCAGCTCGGTCCGACCATTGTGTCCTTGGGAAAGGCACTTTACACGAATTTCCCACTTGGCTCGGTTCTTTCGGAGACGGATATTATACTAGGAGGCCCCCGCTTCTTAAATTAAATAACCTAATAAGATAGGAGCGTTGAACCTATACCATTTCATCGTTTTCACCAATAGAGTGTGCAATGTAGAGGTACAACAATTTAGAGGTTCCCTTTAGACACAATATTACCATAATGCAGAACATACAAACACAGCAGCACTTTGTCTGATGTCCTTCCTTGGAAAGATTTTTGTTGTTGTCATGTAATAGACTAAAATTCTTTGTCTTCATTTTTCTAATGTGCTGACATCAAATAATGAGTTGTTTGTTTAAAGGCTGTCTTTGTTAGTTTTAGAAAATACTAATGCTATCAAAACTACGGTGAAGTTATAGGATATCATTTTAAGCTGAAAAATATTAAATTCAGAATTTTGATTTTGTATAGATGGCATATTATCTTCTTTGAAAATTCTTTCTTTTTGATGATGAAAATGATCAATCTTCCCTTCCAGACAAGAGCTCTTTTGACTAAAAATAATGTGATTAAGACTTTTATGTACATATTGAAACACTTTTTTTTTCTCTCTCTCTCTCTCTTTCTGTCTCTATCTCTTTCTTTCTCTTTTTCTGTTCAGTTTCCATGACACAGGCATCGTTTTGATGGCAGCAGGCATCACAGCAGCTGTGTGTTTGGCCATCTCCATTTTCGCCATGCAGACCAAGGTAAGCACTTTTATTTGTGGTGTAGGGCTTAGGCTTTTTGCTATTTACCTGAGGTCGATTATTAATTGTTTGGGTTGGGGGGAAGGGGGATTTTTTTTATTGAATATCTGTCTTTTACTGGGATGTTGTGTCCCTCTCAGCTGGGATTGGCCCTGACAGGCAGTTGTAAGCCCACCTCCTTAATGTGTCAATAGAGGTGTAAAAAAACACCTACATTTCATTTTAGTTTTACTAAGGTGAGTCATTAGTGGAACAGAGTTGATTGTGTTTGTCCATCTTCATTTTTTTGCTATACAGACCTAGGTACGGTAAGCACTGAGGGAAGACTTGATAAGTGGGCTCTCATAGCTGTCGTGATGTAGTGCGTGGCAGAGTCAGTATCAATGCAATGTTTTTTTACAGATGATGCTCATTTGAGTTTATCCACCATGCGTTTAATTTTCCATACGACAGTTCATCAAAGAACAGTTTTGTGTGTATTGTTCACAGAAAGACACGGACTGGCATTTCCTGCATAGATCCATTTAACAGTTAATAGATGTTATGGTTATTTTACCATTGATTAATGATTTATATATGTATGTATGTATGTATGTATGTATGTATGTATGTATGTATGTATGTATGTATGTGTGTGTGTGTGTGTGTGTGTGTGTGTGAGTGTGTGTGTGTGTATGTATGTATGTATTAGCTGGGTACTTGTTCGATGAATGGACTAAAAAGAATCGATTCTCATGTCATTGTGGAAACAGTGCGCACTGCTTGTGAACGGAAACTTCACTTGTTTACAGTGGCATCTTAGTAGATGGACTTTCCCAAGATTAGATCTAAACAAAACAAATGAAAGACTGAAAATTAAACTAGACTACAGTGACTCCAGACTCATTAATATAACTGTGCACCTTTTAAATGATTCTGAACGACCGTTAATTTTGTCTAGTTTGAAAGTTATATGGATTGAAAGTTTTAGGCGACCAAAGTGACGAACTTTCACAAATATAATGTTTTTGTATGTATGTACGTATGTACGTATGTACGTATGTATGTATGTATGTATGTATGTATGTATGTATGTATGTATGTATGAATGTATGTATGTATGAATGTATGTACGTACGTATGTATGTATGTACGTACGTACGTACGTACGTACGTACGTTACGTACATACGTACGTACATACGTACGTACATACGTACGTACGTATGTATGTATGTATGTACGTATGTACGTATGTACGTACGTACGTACGTATGTATGTATGTATGTATGTATGTACGTATGTACGTATGTACGTATGTATGTACGTATGTACGTATGTACGTATGTATGTATGTATG